CCAAGAGTTTTTAAGTGGATGCCCTTAAGAGAATGTCTACTCCCTTCTTCTTTAATGTTCCTCCCCTCTTCTCCTCCACAGATTTGGTTCAAGGTTAGGGAACTTTTAGTTTGTTTTCTACTCTGGTAACCTATCTTCCAGTCTCTCCAGGTTGCAGACTGTAATAGTGAATCTTAGAGCATTTATTTTGTTACCCACTTCTCAATTCTGCTTTTCCTTTTGCTGCCTATTTTCTCTATTTTGAGGAGATCTGGATTCGCTGCTTAGCTCCATTCTGCCATCTTTCTCTGCTTCAACTTTTTCTTAAAGTTTATTCAAATGAACATCTAATAAAATTCATCTATTGAAATTAGTTTTTACTTTTAAGATTTCCCCCACCATTCTGTTGTATATTTGTGATTTTTGAAAATGTTGTATTGTTTTTCTTTATAGTTTCTCCCAGTCTGAATTATGCTATGCTGATTCTATCCTGGTGGTGTCACTGAACATGTTTTTCTCTCTTGTATTTTCAGAAAATTGGTAATTATAGTGACAGAATTGATCAGATTCAGGTTCAATGTACTTTGACAAGTATACTTATTGATGGAATTTTTGTTCTTCAATTTTTTAATTTTAAATGGTGCTGTAAAGAATAGTTTTGTAAATATATCTTTTTATGTTTTACAAATATGGGTTTCAGAGATTTTTCTATAAGTGAGATTGCTAGTTAGCCAGGTATATCCATGTTAAATATTGCGATACACATCCAAATTTCCTTCTGTGGTTCTTGTGTCATTTTATATTCCCACTATTTGGAATGCATTATGAGAGAGCCTGCTTCCAAATAGCCACAGAATGTTTTGTTAAATATTTGAATTTTTAACTAAAAATAGATTTGCTCTATGACCCAGCTACACTAAGCCTCAGTATGTATTCAAAAAGAATTAAAGTCAACATACTATAGAAATCCCTGCCTACTCATATTTTTTATAGCACAATTCTCAATAACTGAATTATAAAATCAGCCTAAGTGCTTGTCAATAAAAGAATATATAAAGAAAATGTATATACACAATGAAATATTATTCAGACATAAAGAAGAACAAAAATCAGGTCATTTCCAGGAAAATAGATGGATCAGAGATTATGTTAAAAAATAATACAGACTCAAAAAGACAAGTATTGCACATTTTATTTTATATATGCAATCTAGAAAATATAAAATATAACATGAATGTAGAAGGGAGATGATTATTGAAGAAGAAAGGCAGCAGGGGAAGAGGGAAAGAAGGATAAGAGTAGGTACTAGGGAGTGGAAGTGGGTCAAAATATGCTATATGCATATACGAATATGACACAGTGAAACCCACTGTTACATATAACTAATAGGTACCCATAAAAATTGAATTTTTCCAGCCTGATAGATAAAAAGTTGCATCTTAGTATAGTTTTTCCTTTATATTTATGTTGGTAGTTCTTTATTGAGGTATAATTCACATACAGTAAAATGCAGAAATCTTGAATATACATCCCAGTGAATTTGGCAAATTTATGCATATGTTTAACTAACACTTAAATTACTGGCTACTGATGTTTATTTATAAAGATTAGTCTCTGGTCCAAAGGGTTTTTTTCAGTATTCCAAGATGCCTATTTTGGGTTTTATTATCTTGGGTCATTATAATAAACCACACACAGGAGACTTCTGGTTCCTGATTTTTTTTATGAATTCATTTTTTTGTACTTTTTTTCAAATAATTGCTATTTTACTTATCAGTATTATTATATGCCTTAACTAATTATTAATTGTAAAATCCAATGGATTTCAATGTGATATTTTCATACATGCATATATTGTGTTTTAATTATATCTATCCTTCCTACTATCTCTGCTTGCCCTCCTCTTTCTTCCCACCCTCCCTGACCTTTCCCCTTCTTCAATAGTCTCTTTTCTACTTCTCTTCTTCTCTTCTTTCGTTCTTCTTACCTCCTATTTTTCCTCCTTCTTCTTTTATTTTGTTTTCACATATGAGAGAAAGCATGTGATACTTGTCTTTCTGAGTCTGGCTTATTTTGTTTAATGTGATGTCCTCCAATTCCATCTATTTTCCTGTAAATGGAATTATTCCATTCTTCTCCATGACTGAATAATTACTCTATTGTGTGTGTGTGTTTGTGTGTGTGTGTGTGTGTGTGTACATACTAAGGAGTTCACTTATACATACGTATATACCTATATACATATATCACATTTTTTTTATTCATTCATCTGTTGACAGTATGGTACCTAGGCTGACTCCATAACTTAGCTATTGTGAGTAGCACCAGGTATCTCTTTTAAATGCTGGCTTCATTTCCTTTGTATAAATATTACCAGTTGTATAGCTGGATCATGTGGTAGTTCTATTTTTAGTTTAGTTTTTTTTTTTTTTTTGAGATGCTTCCATACTGTTTTCCTTAGTGGCTGTACTAGTTCACATTCCTTCCAACAGTGTAATAGTTCCTTTTCCTCCATGTTCTCACTCACATTTGTTGCTTTCTCAAGGATTTCTTTTTTAATCATCAGCATTTTTGCACAAGTCATCATTGGCTTATTGTCTAGTAAAATGAATTGCAATCATCTAGAAATATCTGTTGATAAAGATACACCTTTAAATCTTTTTATTCTTGTTAAGACTTTATTTTTTTTTTCATTTTTGGCCTGAGGGTACAAATTGAATCAATGAGTAGATTTACAAAAAGTTAGGATGTTATACAAATATTGGAAGTGTCTAGCAAAAAATAGTAGCTTTATTTTGACTTTTATAGTCTATTTAATTGGTCTTTCCCTGGGCCTGAAGGAAGCACTATTGATTTTTTTATTAAGCTATAAAAATGTGTCCACATCTTCCATCAGTGTGTTTTAATTATTTTTGTCCAACATGGACCAAATATGTCAAAGAAATCTAATTTTAAATGTGTGTCTATTACAATAAACTTTAGGAATTTTGCTGGTTAATAGTTGGAATAAGTTTTAGGCATTCACACACAAGTGCTACAGTGTCAGAATTTAATTTTAATTTTTTTCATTAGGTATAATAAAGACTGTTGAATGTTTTTCTGCAGTGTCCTCTACTTATTTTTTCTAAAATGTCATATTTGTAGCATTCTTAAGACCTTCGGTGGAAAAGATTTTACTTTGACTTTGTATTTTTAAAGTAGTCTTTGGGTTAATTTGTTTTCTTATATCCTTAATTTTGAATCAGAAACTAGAACAGCAGAAAGATATACTCAAGGTTAAAGTAATCAGTGAATAAGACCTAGAAATAGCATGCATTATGAAGATTTCTTTTTGGAACTTGTCTTCTGAAGTTTTTGTATCTTTGTTATTGATACTTTAAAACTATTAGAGTACATAGTATTGAGATGCACAGAACTTATAAAATATGCTTATTTCTTCAAGTTTCTGGTTTGCCCTTTTGTACAGATTTAAAAATGTTAATATGGAATATGCAAGTTCAGAGTACACATGAGTATAAGTAAGAGTCTAACCAGGAAACAAACACTATGAAAGAATTTGGAGTACTGGGGAGTTTAATGTTGAAGTTAGCTATAAGGTGATGGAGCCAAGAAGCAGAGGACTATGAGGCAATAGAGAGACGAAAACCAGTGGAAACCATTGCCATCCCTAGTTCAGAGGGGCATAAAGAAGAAGGAAGGCTGTATCATATTTCATGGGCTAAGATTATCACAGATATTTGGAACCATGGTGGAACTGTGCAGAGAAAAGTTGAAGCAGTGGAGAAGGAGCAAGTGCTCCTGAGACCCCTTTGAGAGTAGTGAAGGCAAGGATGGAGGTAATGTTTTTTTTTCTCCTTTCCTCCCTCTTTTTACTCTCCCAATAGCTAGCATCTGCCTTTGGCTGAACCCAGCTGGGACGAGCAGATATGGGTTCCTGAGAAATACAGGCTGCTTTGTGATGTGGAATAGAACAGGGAGTTAGTTGGAATGGCTATAAAACAACAGATCCAGTCCTGACACACTTGGCAGCTAAAACCCAAATGTACTAATTATGTTCTTTAAAGCAATAGAACTTGGGGAGGAAATTTAGTTGAAAATTTAGGTTTCCATGCTACATGAGTTTTTACTGTTTCTTTGATAAGTACCTTCAAATAAATATTTAGCCTAAACATTATTTTTAAAAATTTATAAAGCCATAGAGGTGAAATATGTTCAATATCATATTTCTAGAAAGTGCTAAGGCTGGGACTAGTGCCAAGCTTCTTTACAATTTACTGATGACTTTCCCATTCTATCAAATTAAATAAGTAAATAAATAAATAAATAAATAAACAAACAAATAAATAAATGGTCTGGGACAATGGCACTTGCCCATAATCCTAGAGGCTTAGGAGGCTTTGGCAGGAGGATGGCAAATTCCAAAGCCAGCCTCAGCAATTTATCGAGGCCCTAAGCAACTTAGTGAGACTCTATCTCAAAATAAAATATAAAAAGGACTGGGGATGTGGTTCAGTGGTTAAGCATCCTTGGGTTCACTCCCTGGTAACAAAAAAACAAAATAAACATCAACAACAACCAGTCCAAACATAGTCTTTTTAAAAACTTCTTTTACCTCCAGTGTGCTCATATGTAGATTGGGAATAATGATACTGGCAATGCCTGGCAGGGAAGATGTGTCCAAAAATAGAAGAAATATATGGAAAACTTTTAAAAAAGTTTCTCAGGCTTATGAATTCAGGTATTATTTATTGTATGGATGGGAAAGAGAATAATTTTATCTTTCTTTTTTATACTTTAAAAGCACTTCTTAAATTGGCCAGTGTTCCAAACCATTTTCTTTTCCTGTCCTTACTTTTTAATATAGTAGTTATTTGGGGTGGATTGTGTGTTAGAAGATGTACTAACAAGGACTGAAAAGAAATATTTAATTTAAAACATTCAGATTTAAACATTACTGTTGTGGAAAAGACATCTTAAGGAACTTTGAAGTATCTACTCTTTTGTTCTTCCTCTAAATCTAGATTAGAAAAGCAATGCAGACTTCAAAGACATCCAAAGAACAAATGCTTATAAAACAACACAAGCAAGTGTGGTGGCAGGAACACCAAAGGCTAAACAAAGTCAGGTAAGGACTTGGGGAGTTTCACCACAACATGAAGGGTTCACTAGGAGTTGCACTTGTCCCAATCAGATTTTCTATAATGTTCCATGTTAATTAAACCATTACAATGAAAATTTAGATTTATAGTTTGAATTTGAGTCAAATTAAAATCTTCTCATTTCCTCAGCCTAATCTGGAATCTAGGGAATGGCTTTTGTATTCTGTAGAAAATTAAAAGGATTGTCTCCATCTGCCCATTTCTCTTTTGCACACCTACTGTCTTGCTTGCATTTATGTATATCATACTCAGCAGGTTGCATTATAATGTGTGGGTACACATTTGTCTCTCCACTAAGGTGATAAGCTACTGGAGGGTAAATATCATATCACAGTCATCTGTATGTTGTGGAATAAGCAGGAGATATGTAAAATGCTTTCAGTACCTAGGTAAACAGATGAACTAAGACTTAGTTGGTGGTTTTCTTGATATAGTTGCATTATGACTTAATTCAGTTATGGTATTTGACTTTTGTTATTATTTCCCGCAGTTACTTAAAGAAGAATTAAAACAAAATAATAATGTCATGTTTGATCTTGATTGTAATCTCTTAAAAATAAATTTCAAAAGTAAAAGCAAGGAGAAAACAGTTGTATTTCTCTTCCACTTAAGGCATATGTACTTGCTTTAATAATGGTGGTATTTTATAAAGTATGTTTGTTAAATATGTATTATAAAGCATTTATTTTATATAAAAATAGATAATTTCCATGATCTTATTCTGAGTCAAGTTTCCCAATATCATTAACTTTACTTTTTTAAAAATATATTTTTTTATATATTTGTTGATGGATCTTTATTTTATTTATTTTTCTATATGAGGTGTTGAAATTTGAGCTCAGTGCCTCATACATGCTAGGCAAGCACTCTATCACTGAGCCACAACCCCTAACTTTACTTTTGACTTCGGTGCTTTTCATGTTGGTAGGAGATTCTTATTCTAGCAAGCAAGTCCTATATGTGAGGTAAAAGTTCATGATTGGCAAAGGTCTCACACTATAGTATAACTCAAAACACAAAAATAAAATTATATAGACTTTATCACCATACTTCTCCTATAAAAACAACTATATCAGACCCATTTACCCTTAAAAAATCACCTTTAGTAGAGAGAAAATGTTTGAGCCCATTGGAAATTGTTTTGAAAATTTGCATAACTTGAAATAGGATAAAAAGGAAAGCCAATATTAGGGAGCTTTAATTATGGTGTTCACTGATGCAAGTTCAAATTAAAAAGAAGACACTGGGAAAAGTGTTTGTTTTTTAATCGTGGCTGTTCCACATTTCCCTTTGTGTGTCTTAAGCTATTCTTGTGATAGATAGAAGAAACATATACACATCATTATGGAAAGTTTCTGTTGGCTGACTTGGAATGACACAAAGATGATGGAAGTGAGGAACACTTTAGTAATAAAGATCATAATGTCTTAAAACATTATAAGGACTGAAAATTGAACAAAAAGAATCCCAATATAATTTTCAGCGTTATTCTAGAGTGTAGGCTAATTTCATTACATATTCAGTAAATTTAAAACTAATATCAATAAGAGATATGTAAGGGAAATGGCTAGATTTGTGGAGAATTTAAGGACTGCAAGCAAATCCATAGTTTAAGCTTTATCAGTGTTTGTCAACCTTTCAAAATCCAAACCCCATTAAATATTATTATGTCTTACCAGAATACTCTTTTTGAGAAACTCAGACCTACAGAAAATAAGGACCAATAATGACATTCAATTTTTCTTGGGTAATTTAGTATGTTTTAGGAAATATGTTAGGTACTTTACATGCTTTATCTCATTTAATCCTTACAATGTAGGTATCACTGCGTATCAGTTTATGAAATTCTTGAGTCTCAGAAGATTAAAATTATTTACAGAAGATAAGTAAGGTAGTTTGGGTGGATCAAGGATTTGCACCTGTCTCCTGTGCATCATGACCTTGGAAATGAGCAACTTTTTCTTTATCCCATAGGGTTGCATTCATACCTCCTGTGATCTAATTGATACAAACTTGCTAGCCAAAAAAAAAAAAAAAAAAAAAAAAAAAAAAAAAAAAAAAAAGAAAGAAAAGAAAAGGCAAAGCCTATGAATCTTAAAAATATTCTGAACTAAGGACACTAGAAAAGATTTACAAATGTAAAAATTATGTTTAATATTTAAATTTATAAAATTTTATTTAAAATGTAATGGGCTTACTCAAACTATATCCCTTGAGGACTCTGATATACTTTCCCAGGAGCACTTACTCCCTTGTTTCATTCTGGTACCACAAAGAACCCTGTATTTTTATGTGATCATGTCTAGATGATATATTAATCTATGCAGTGCAACCACCTGCAGACAGATCAGCCTGGTAAAGGGTATTTCTTAGCCTTAAGTACAGGTCCTCACCCTTCCAGGATGATTTTAGGTAGAGAATCAGATCCTAAGAACACCAAAAATTATCCATAGCTTCCCTCTTCTGGCAATTTATATGCTCCATTATTGCTTTCTGGATTCTGAAAATATAAGATAAGCTGGATGGGTTTTTTAGTGCTACATTTTTGGTTAAAGAGTTCTTTTCTGAAAAAAAAAATCTGGTTTGACTTCATAACATACCCATCCTACATGTACAATTGCAAATGTGATCTTAAAATATTTCTGACAAAAACTGCCTGCAGGGAAAACAGACATTGAGGTGCCACTTACAATAATAGCACAACTTCTTTATACATGTAAACAAAAACAAAACCCCTGTCTCATGTAAGTTAATAGTAGAAGGTGATGGTGTGTATGTGTGTGTACACGTGTGTGTAAATGAAATACTATGCAGCCATGAAAATAATAAAACCACTTAGATATATCTTTAAAAAAGTGTTAAGCAAAGAAAAATCCCACAATATAAAATGTTAAATATACTATTATCACAACTACATAAAATAACGTAATCAAGGACTAGAAACTCATTTGCAAAAAATGAAAATTATCATTGTTTGAAAGTATTGCAATTGTTGCTATTTTCTTATGTTTTAGTATTGTTCTTTAATAATAATAATAGATTGAAGCAGGTTTGATTGACTGCCATAATCAAGGAATATAGATAGTATTTTTAGATGCCCAGTTAGGGTTGGTTATTATTTTACTCTAAAAATGACTGTATTTTTAAAACACAGTAAAAGGTCATAAAGATTTATTACTCTTATTAGTATGTAAAAATGAAATAAAGCTTTACTCGAGTTTCCTTTGTTCAGAATCTTATCATTTCTGAACTTTTAAAATAGCTTCCTTATTGGTCTGGTTTTTGCCTAATCTCCTTTTCATCTTCCATTTCTATTGCTCATCCCACCCCAGGTCCTTCCTCTATCTTGCTGCCTTGGGAATCTTTCTGAAACACCACTCTGAGCAGGTGAGGTCAGCTTGGTGTCCTTTGGTGTCCTTTAGTAGCTTCCTGGTGTTGGTTCTCTCTCCATGAAGTAGTGCCGGGACTTCGTGTGCTGCCTTTGTTCTTGCTATTACTTCTGCCTGAGCTTAGCAAGTACCCAGTCCATGTTAGGAATTTAGCACAAGGTCTGAATCAATTAATAGATGAACAAAAGCACATTAGATTGCTTCCACTTATTTCTTAAACTTATATGTATGTTAGTAACTGTAAAAATATTGATTGAGATATGTCTATTTCAGATTTAAATTGGAATCTGATATAAAATCTTTTCTCAATGAAGAGAACATTGGAAATGAATATCTTTGTGATATTATGAATTCTGGTAAGCTTTTTAAATCCTATATTTAAAGGCAAATTTTATTTTGAAGAATGAAAATGAGCTACTCACTTCATGCTCTTTTAATATTTTAAGAGTTGTTTTTTCTAAATGAATAAAAAAAAATCAGCACTCTTATCATTTGTTCTTTAAGAAACTTAAGATAATAATGTATTTCCTCGATTCAACCTTGTTTTTACTACAGAACAAGAGTTATCAGAACAATGGAGCACATATCTTAAAAATGTGATAAGTCCTATTCTGCAGCTGAGAACAGATCTAAAGTATAGGCAACATAACATTTCACAGAGTTCACATGCCCATAAGGAGTTTAATTCAGTGACTGTACTGGAAGAGGTCAGTATGTTACCTTTGTTTTTGATAATGTAATATTTCATTTTTGCCCTTACTAGAATAATTTGAAATAAGAAATAAACATGTGAATTGTGTATTTAAGTAGAAAGGTTATTCAATATCTTAAACATGTGCTGAATCTGCCCAGGAACCCTCATTTCTCATAACTGATCTCCTTGCTTTCCTTTTTGCCCTTCCTCCCAGTGCATTCTGGGATCTAGTTGTTCTGATGTTGAAATTCCAGAGGCTTCTTCTGCCCTTGAAGTCTTCCTTCTCATCTGACCCCCTTCCAGCTTCTTTATTCACATCTCCTTCCTGATCTGTACCTTTCTACAGAAACTCAGTACCATAGATTCTGGCCATCTTTTTGTGCCTCCCACATTATCAGGCTCATTCCTATTTCAAGGACTTTACATCATCTGTTTCCTCTATCTGGTTGATGGTACTTTCTGTCATTTAGTTCTTGACTTAAATGTCTTTCCTCTGAGAAGCTACTGTCACTTCCCACCACAGCACCCTGTTTTTATATTACTTCCTGTTACTGCTTTCTTAAGTAAGTAATTCTTAGTTTGTTGACTGCACACCCCCTCAGTACAGCATAAGATCTATTGTTGTGCTAAATATGAGGTTTTAAAATGATTTTTCTCTCTCTACTTTTCAGTTATTCTGTAGTTTTATACTGCAATAATAGTACTTTAAATCTATACCTCACTGCGGACTATAGGCAAGGATACAAGGAAAGGAAGGGATGATTTAAGTAGAAAAAATTCTGTTCTCTGCCTTACAATTAATAAAATGTAAATGTGGGTGTGGGGTAGCTTCAATTTTTGGGAGATAAGTGTCTGGAAGTCTCATTGAGATTCATTTGTCTGATGAGCACTGCCATATGGGCAACTCTGATTTTCTGTAACAGGTCCTCAAAAGGATTTTCTCTTATCTAACTTTCTATCATTTCTTGGCTTTTGAGAATAATTCTTGTGTCCTTACATAAAAATACTGGATAACTTGTAATAATGTGAGTACTACTTGTACAACACATCCTCTAGGTTGACTTTGTGAAGAAACAATTGAAAGCTGTCTTTGAAAGACTTAGACTGGAGCAACAGGAAATAGAAAGCGATCTTTCAGGCTGGAATATAAAAGTAAGTGTGATGAAGCTAGTAATTTATTTGTCTATCATTTTGTCACTTATGTTAAATAAAGTAATCACATAATTTGTTTTCAGATACTGGATTATTGTTCAGAAGAGAAAACTAATCTTAGTGAACTACCCATGGAATTAGAAACTTTGGAATGTCCATACCCTGATTTGAAATCTTCAATTCTCAAAGAGTTCTATAACTTTACAGAGAAATATCAAAAGAAACTTCAAGATTTTGATGTACAGTTAGAAAATATAAACAGGTGACTTGATAAAACTACTTGAATTCTGTAGATTTTTTATACTAAATTTTAATTTTTGTTCATAGTCGCTATACTTCTGATTTACTATTGCATAGTTACTATGTGATGGGAAGTTAACAATAAATGTTTAGATTGGTTATTTGTTGAATGGAGAGGGTTTTCCCAAAATAATTATCTTGATATAAAGATTTTAAAGATTTTTATAAGGTTAAAAGATGACAATAATCTACTTTTTAGCCTTCTTTCCTGTACAAGTTAGTTTTCAAATAGGAATTTTCAGTGACTATTAATTTTCATTTAAATATATAAAGCTCTTCTATAGTGGAAATTTACAAATTAGCACTAATAATTGATTATAATTAAAAATATATTAATGAAATTATGTTACTTGTAATTAACTGTGATTTTGTCCTGTGATGACGTAGAGTATGTTTTCAAATTTTTAAAAAACTTTTCCTGTAAATGTCAATTTTTTTTAAAAGAAATAGTCTTTTGGTTGCATCTTGAGAAGGATGTTTCTCTTTGGAGTGGCAAACGTAATTTTCAGGAATTTGAAGTTCAGTTCTGGCTGAATTTCTCTAGTGTCTTCTATATTATAATTCACATAAAGAGAGAAATCCAGATATGCTTCCCTGAGTAGGATTGATTGTTGGTCTTAGGTCCTGTCTGTACATGATGTCTCTGGGAGACATTTTGTAGAAAAAAAGTGCTTTCCCTTCTATGATATCAGTGTCAATTTTTTTCCTTAAAGAATTTATATTTAAAAAGAAAGGAAAACTACAGAAAGGACACATGGAGGAAATTAAAAATAATAGAGGTTCTTAACTTTGAAATGGAAGGTGATAAATATAACAAATATGTGTATTTTCTATATCTAATTAATCGCTGAGAATACAGATCTTTATATGAAACTGCTGGTGTTTAGAAATAGACAATAAGGAAAATTTTAATTCCTCCCAAGTAGAGTTCTGTGCTTTGGTAGCTCCCCAATCCAAACTCTTGGGTTACATCTGTTACTTATCTCAGCACAATAGAGCCCATCCAAGGTGAAGTCTGGGCCTTTCCTTACCTTAGCTTCCTTTTTACACCTCTGTGGCAATGTTCCTGTGTTCCTCTCCATCAGCATCTATTGTTCTTCTGGGAACTCCTCCTTCTCTACCTCTCTCCCTTGTTTTTCTTCTTCCCACCTGGCAATAAAGCTGAAAAATAAATTAATAATGTATCATGTACACTTGTTGATTGATGAGTTTATTACCCTTTAATTGGAATTCAGTCACAGTGAAGTATTAGCTAAACCATATACTTAGATTAAGTTTCTAATTATAAAATGAATATCCTCTCCCAGTTCCCCATCCCAACCTTGTTACAGAGATTTCAGAACTCATTAGGAAAGAAGTGCAGTGTTTTTGTTTGGTGGGGAAAAGGCATTCTGAATAGGCTGATTAGCTGTGACTTGAAGAAGGTTAATCTTTGTCCTTTAAAAGCCTGTGACTTTTCCTTCAAGATGGCACCTTATCCTCATGAGAAAGCTGGCTGAGTTTGTGGTATCTCTAGATTAGCAGATCCTAAATATGGAGATATTTTCTTCAGGAGCCTGAGATGGCTTCCTTATAGTAAGATCTGTTCTTCCCACCACACTTTCATTCTTTTTTAAAAATCTTAACTCAATTTCTGTTCTTCCTTCATATGTAATCCTATGACAATCAAAAAAGTTGGGATTCACAGCTCCTTCAAATTACTAAATATTAAGTAGAAAATTCATTGAATATATTTCACATTGCTAAAGTTTCTGCAGAAGGAAGAAACATTGAGGATAAAATTACTCAGGAAAGCTTGATGAAGGATCTAAAGTTCACTATGGACTTTGAAGAATGGGCAGAGTTAGCATCAGCAGAAAGCAAATAGGGAGGACATTCTAAAAAAGAAGATTAAATAATTAGAATATAAACCTCTTTATATCAAAGTAACTTATAGCTATATTAGTGTCCATAGCATCTAGTACTTTCTACACAACGCATCTTCTAAGTGATTCAGTTGACTTGAAGGTAAAAACAATGAAGGAAATAGTGAAATGGCATGTTCCGGGATGGTAGGAATCTACTTGGGAGGAATATAAGGTTCATAAATTCTAGTTTAATGGTTCTTGCTACATATAATTACCCAAAATACATTTTGCATAATTGATTATGTGTTTTACTTGTTGAATATTTATTGAGTAATCTTTAATGTATAGTGGTCTCTGTTAAGCTCCTTGGTAGGAGATTAGGCAGACATATTAACTTAGAATATGGTTTTACTATGATAATTTGAAATATTTGGGGGAAGAGACATATACATATGTACCCTCACTAAATAAAATTACATGCAAACATTAATTAAAGAAAATATGAATATGCTGGCAGTGAATAATAAAGCTTCAATCAAAACTTAATGAGTTTTCAGGAATAAGTTTCCTTGAGGTGAAAGAGAGTAAAAGAATAATTTGAATAAAGATAGAGGTGTTTGGCATCAGTATTCTGACACTGGTGAGCAGTGTTGCATATAAATACACTGTTCTAACTAGCAAAATGAATTACATGTTCAATTATAATATTAATTGCAATTTTGATTTGTCAGGATCCACCTTCATTTTGATATGGTCATTTTCCCTTCTGGTTCTAGCTATTATGTTTTGTGAAAATTCTCACAGATTGCATGCATGTATGTGCACACCAGTGGGAGAGAGCGTGTGCACACTTTAAAAGGGATACTAATCTAGATTATTGCTTTAAGCCAGAGTGACACTGGAGTTTTTAATAGTTTGAATCTTTAAAACATCCATCATTTGATACAATTATTACCCAGGGTCCATAGTTTACATTAGGATCACAATCCTTCCATCCCTAGTTATTTTTCATTTTCAAACTTTGTTATTACATGATTTATTTCTATAAAGTAGTGTGGTGGAGCCTATTAAATCACACAGCACATATCCTTTGTCTGAATAGTTTCTATATTTCAAGAATGTATCATAAAAATATATTTAAGTATATAAACAGATTTATTTTATTTATTTATTGCAATAGAAAAGATTGAGCAAAACCCTTAATAAAGGCTAGTTTTATAGATTTTTATACATCTATACAATGTATTATTCTACTGGTAAAAAAAGTTTTAAAACTTTGCTGATCTGGAACAATATGCAAGGGTACGTGAGGTATAGAGTTAAGCAAGCAAAATAATTTTCAATTCATATTGTGTGAAAGGGGGGAAATAGACATATACACACTCTCACACACACCTATATTTGCTCTTGTAGGTCTTAAAGAATGTGCAAAGAGAGATAACATTCATTGCTTTTGGTGAGGGGAACCAGGTGCTGGAGGATGGGGTGTGAGGAAGAATTTTCATTGTATTTCCCTTTTCTTGTACTTTTAGAATTTTGAACCCTATGAATATATTTTAAGTTCTAAAACAAAGAATTTTTAAAGGAAAAAAGTTGACAAGGGCAAAGATTGAACACCAAAGAGGAAAAGACTGGCAACATATCAGATACAAAATATTAAAATTCCTAATATATAAAGGCAGTTTGTAAATTCATTGAACACTGAGCAGTCAAAAGGCAAAGGGGGCAAAGGAGAAGAGGGTATTTAGTCATATTCTCAAAAATTATTTATTAAGCATATATTGGCATAACATAGATAAAAATCTCTATACTCATGAAGCAAGTGGAAAATGTGAAAGTGTAAACATAGTACCTAAATTAGGGTAAGAGAGAAAGGGCTGGAGTTGCAGAGGGCAGATTGCAATATTTTGGATATAGACCTGGTTGAGAAAGTGACATTGAATTGAAGTCATGAAATAAGTTGAAGGATTGCATCATGAAGATATTTGGAGTAAATCCATCCTATTCAGTATTTACCAAGGTGGGAATTTGCCTGGCAGGAAATGAGTGACAGACAGGAGAGTAGTGGAAGATGGAGTCAAAGAGGTAACAGTGAGGAGTAGGTTCTTTATTTATTTTTGCTGTTTGTGTGTGTGTGTGTTGCCAGGTATCACACCCAGGAACTTGTGCATGCTTAGTTCAGTGTTAAGCACTGAACTATATCCCCAACCTCAGAGACAGGATATTTAGAGCCTGTAGCTCTAAAATCTTTTTAAAACTTTGGATTATACTCTGAGTGATATGGGAAACTACTGGAAGGTGTTGAGCCAAAGTGAACAGTAGCAAAACCTGGCTTACGTTGTAGCAGAAGCAGTTTGGCAGTTGCTGTGTTTAAAATAGATTGCGATAGAGAAGTGTATAGCACAAGAAAAGACTGAACATTTAGGAAATTATTAAAGTAATCCAGGAAAGACAGTGGTAGCCTGAGTGGAGGAGTAGAAGTGGTGAGAAATAGTCAGCTTTTGATGTATTTTAAAGGTAGAATCAACACCATCTTCTGAAAGATTTCATGAGTCATGTGAGAAAAAGAGAGAGCCAGAATAGTCCAATGTAGTTGCTTATTTGAGTTGAGCAACTAGAACAATGGAGTTGCCATTCAATGAGGTAAGGAAGACTATGAGTAAGTGGGCTTTGGCTGTTGGGAAGATCAGTTATTTTGGGTTGGACATATTGAGTTTGGGGTGCTGTTAGGTGTCCATGAAGATATTTTGTGGGGGCAGTTGGCTTTGTGTGCTTGGCATTTAGGAAGGAGATCTGGACTGGAATTACATATTTGTGAGTCATTGGCAGGAGATGGGATGTAGTCAAGAGAGGAAAGAGAAGGTCAAAAATGGATCCCTTGGACCTGCCAATATTACAGTGTCCAGGAGAAGAGAGAGAATCAAAAAAGGACACTGAGATGTAAGCCAGAAAAGAGTTTTGGAAGGCAGGTAAAGAGGAAGTGGTCCACAGTATTAGCAGAGCTGGTGACTCCTGAATAAATGCTACATATAAGTTAAATAAAAGAGAATCATAAGTAACTGTTGGTTCTAAATGGAGAACCTTGGTGGTCATTTTTATTAAAAAGTAAAAGCAA